TATAAAAAAATATAAATATTAATTAATCACTTAAATTTTTTACATTGTAATAATGTTAAAATAAAATTTAACTTTTATAATTTTTATAATTTTTTAGGTAAATAAATTATAAAAAATGAGTTGGTAGAGAAGTTCAAATTAAAAAAAAAAAAGTGGGGTGGGAAACAGGCGTAGAAGACTAAAAGTACAGGATGTGGTCAAGGAATCATTTTTATAGCGATACGTGTCAGAAGCTGGTTATACATCTTCCTAAACGGGTTCCCCCTATCCGGCCACGTGTACAGTTTAAACGCCACGTGTCGACACCAACTACCTTTTCTCCTCATGAATAGGAAATTTCTTGAATTTAAACACTCTCCCTTACTGTATCCCCTCCTTGGAGAGAAATAGGAAAAAGCGAGTGGGAGTACTAGAGATGGGGAAAACAACGGTGGTGGTGGTGGCAATGGCGGTGTTATGGGTCGGAGTTTGCAGGGGATGGGGGGAGGAAGCCACGGAGAGAATGAATGTTAAAGCAGAAGAGGTCAAACAGAGTGGCGGTGCAGCCATGCAAGATGCCAAGGACAAAACCGAGGCCTGGGTTGATTGGGCTTACAACAGGTAATCATCTTGCTCCTTAACATTTAAAATTTTATATTACCCATCAAGCATTTGGACATATTTAGGCAATTTCATCTTCTATTATCAGTTGTGGAAGTTGAGATAAATGTTGTTAATTTGTTGGGTGGATGGGAGTCTTGAGAAATTTGCATTAATTTTTTTGTTCTTTATTTATTGTTATTATTATTATTTCACTTTGGTTAGGATTTGGTTAATCAATGGGTTATTTATTTTTAATTTGAAGTTCATATACAGAATTCTTACATTTGATTGGTTTGGTCAGTCAAATGAGTCTACAGTGGTTATTGTGACTAAGTGGATGAACTATTTCAAATTTTTTTATATGAAAAATTTGGAATCTTTGCTCCATTCGTAGATAGTATGATTAAAGACGTTACAATGAAGACCGGGTTATTTATGTTTAATTTGAAGTTCATAAATGGATTTCTCATACTTGATTGGTTTGGTCTGTCAAATGACTCCAAAGAGTGGTTTTTGTGATTAAGTGGATGAACTATTTCAAATTTCTTGTATGAAAAATTAGGAATCATGCTCCATTTGTAGATAGTATGATTAAAGACGTTACAATGAAAGACCGGGTGATTTATGTTTAATTTGAAGTTCATAAATAGATCTCTTGTAGTTGATTGGTTTGGTCTGTCAGATGACTCCAAAGAGTGGTTTTTGTGATTAAGTGGATGAACTATTTCAAATTTCTTGTATGAAAAATTAGGAATCATGCACCATTTGTAGATAGTATGATTAAAGACATTACAATGAAAGACCGGGTGATTTATGTTTAATTTGAAGTTCATAAATAGATTTCTTATAGTTGATTGGTTTGGTCTGTCAGATGACTCCAAAGAGTGGTTTTTGTGATTAAGTGGATGAACTATTTCAAATTTCTTGTGTGAAAAATTAGGAATCATGCTCCATTTGTAGGTAGTATGATTATACAGGTTATGATGAAAGACCGGGTGATTTAAATTTGGGTAATCCTTCTTTGTGCCTGTTTGTTGACTTGATTCTTTTTAGGGCCCTTTTTGTCACGTATTATGTCCATGTTCATTTGTTTTAATACTTTTACCAATGTGAGATTATCCATCTATATGTTTGGGATCAATGGAAACCTAGTTTGTTTATTAATGCCTATTTGAATGAAGTATACATATTCTAGTGGAAGAAATGAACTTTTTGCCTTTTTATAAAGTATTGGAAGATGAAAAGGGTGCTCTCATGGGAGCAGGTTGGGTTTATAATATTTTATTGCTGTTAAGCCTGTTATGGTTTACAACTTTACATTTCATTTTCCCAATGATCATGCTTCAACCATTAGGATCAAGGGTTTTTTTCCCGTTCTTCTTTTCCCTTGACTATCACTGTATATAGATCAATTCGTAGTTAAACTGCACTTGATTTTGACTTGTATCGTGGTTTAGGACAGTAAAAGACCTTAGCTTATATGTTGATTCTTTATGCTTGTTTACCTCTTAAATTGCAATAATGATAAAGGGCTTTTGGATACACTCCCAATGCAAAAGAGGGAGCTCAAAAAATGATGCATGAAGTGGGGGATGCTGCCTCAAGGGCTACAGAGACAATGAACTCTGCTGCATCTGGTATCACTTTATGTTCTTACATTTTCATGCCCCATCTTATCTAACCTGAAGTTTGGTTACTTCTAATCAAAATATAAATTTTATTCTTCGTGTTTGGTTTCGCTTTTTTTTTCCTTTCCAGAAACTTCCAAGCATGCTGTACAAAATGCTAGGGAGGCAGCAAATATGGCTACTGGAAAGGTGGGTAATGCAAAGAACTATGCTTCTGGGAAGGTGGACCAAGTTATTAGAATGGCTTCAGATAAGGCTGATGATGCCAGGGAGAGAATGGCTGAAGGGATAGCCTATGGTAAAGATAAAGTGGCCGAGGCACATGATAATGCTAACCAGAAGGTTGACACTCCTGATATGTCTTCGGATTCTAGAGAGTCAATAGCTGGAGCAATGAGATATGAGAAGGACAGGGCAGCTGATGCTTATGATGGAGCTTGGCAGAAAATGAACATGGCTTCAGATAAGGCCTATGATGCCAAAGAAAAAATTGCAGGGTCAGTTGGGCATGGGATGGATAAAGCAGCTAATGCATATGATGAAGCTAGGCAGAAAATGAAAATGGCTGCAGATAAGACAGATGCTGCAAAAGAGACAGTTTCAGGTGCAATGGGATATGCAAGAGATGGAGCAGCCAATGCATATGATAAATCTAGGGACAAAGCTTCCAACATGGCTTATGATACAAAAGAAAGAATGGCTGGATCAGCTCAATATGTAAGAGATGGAGCTGCAAATACTTACAATCATGCTTACAAACAAGCTAAAGAGAAACTTAACATGGCATCACAGATGGCTTCAGATAAGGCGTCTGATGTTAGAGAGGGAATGGCAGGATCAGTGGAGCATGGGAAAAATAGAATGGCGAATTCCTATGATGAAGTTGTGAATGAGGTTGGAGAGGCATATGCTTCTGCCAGGGACACTATGAGTAACCAGGCTAAGGCTAACTATGAGGCTGCCAAAGAAAGGGCTTCTCAGGCTGCAGGTGCTCTTGGAGCTAAGATGAGAAATGATGGTTCAGAGCTTTGAAGGAAATTACAGTTTCTACTTGGCTATTTTCATGAAGCTATCTGTGAGTCACTAATATTACCATGGCTCTTCTGTTCTCTCTTTTCCTTGCAACTTATCTAGGATTTTTGAGTTACTATTGTTGAAGGAATTTGCATGTCCTCTTTCTTTTGTTATTTCCAAACATAGAGAAATAGAAATGCGTGTGCAAGAATAGCGTTTGCCTTCTGGATTTTTTATTTCTTTTGCCAAATGCCTTTTGGATATACTGTTTGTAGATAGTAGAGTTTATGCTAAATTTAGTGTTTGGTCTATTACTTATTGGTTCATTGTCACTTGGATTTAGAAAGTTTATTTTCTCCCAAATTGATCACAGGAAGTAGTTAGTGGTCAATGACTGGAGTGGCTCAGTGTGAGTGGTAATTACTTCAAGGGAAGTAAAAAGTAGTTGTGAGTTCAAGTCATAGGCATGCGGGCAGAATGAGTGATGCGGTGAGGTAAAACAAAAAGTGAGAAGTTAGTGCACTAAGTCAGTCTTTTTTAAGTGAAAATGCGTAACAATAGTTTAGGCAGAGTAATATAAACATCGGCATGGGTTGCAACGGAAACATTGATTCATTGTCACTTGGATTTAGAAGGCTCATTTTCTTCCAAACTTATAGCAGGTAGAAGTTTGTGGCCAATGACTGGAGTGACTCAGTGTGAATGGTAATTACTTCAAGGGAAGTAAAAAGTAGTCACGGGTTCAAGTCATAGGTATGCGGGTGGAATGAGTGATGCGATGAGGAAAAACAAAAAGTGAGAAGTTAATGCACTAAGTGTCTTTTTTTAGTGAAAATGCATAACAATAGTTTAGGCAGAGTAATCTAAACATCGGCGTGGGTTGCAACAGAAACATTGGATTATTGTAGTGTTGTAGAATTTTCTTTTTTCTTTATTGATCTTTTTTTGGAAAATTTTCAACTTTCATCTTTCTTCTTTAAATTCTCTCACAATTTTCCTAGCTAGAACTTAAAAAAAAAAAAATGTACAATTTCCCCCTTTATTTTCCTAATCAAGAAAAGGAGCATACCCATTTATCAATGATATGGATTTTCTTTTTCATTTGCACATCTTTTCCCTTCCCTATTACCCGTCTCTTTCTAGTCAGAAACTTTCAGGGGTAATTGTTCTTAAGTGCCAGCTGTGAGTCTGTGACCTTCCTCCTCTTCATTATTGCCTGTGACTTTTCACTGCTCGTCTTCAAGCAACTGCAACTGGTTCTCAATTCATTGCCCCTTTTTTTTTCTTTTTTTTCTTTTTGTGATTAGCCAGTTCATTTCCCTTAATTTCATTCATTTCTTGTGTTTTCAATACAAAACTCATATATTGCATAGTCTAATACCCATTTATATTTTCACAAGAAAAATGAAAAAAAAAATGTCTTTACCTGTGATGCAAATTAATTAGGGAACTTTCCCAAATTTTATAACTTAGTTATTTATAGGATTCGCTGTCTAGCTTTTAAAGAATCTCTTCTTGCCTCCAATGAATAGGACATATCTCCTTCAACCCATAAGCGGAAGTTTTTCTTTTTTTTTTTTTTTTTTTGAAAAATGTTCTGCTATACATCATAATGTTTAAAAACTG